GTGGGGCTTGAGGTGGGAGGAGGGGATAGGTGGGAGGAAGGACAGGTAAGGGAGGCGGAGACAAGCTGGGCTGGTTTTGGGATGCTGTTGGGGGAGGGGAGATTTTGAAGCTTGTGAAGTCCACATTGATACCATTGGGCTGCAGGGTTCCCAAGCGAAATATGAGGTGCTGTTCCTGCAACCTTCGGGTGGCATTGTTGTGGCACTGCAGAAGGCCTAGGACGGACATGTCGTCTAGGGAACGGGAGGGGGGAGTTGAAATGGTTCGCTACTGGGAGGTGCAGTTGTTTGTTTTGTTGCGAACTGAGTGTAGGTGTTCCGCAAAGCGGTCCCCAAGCCTCCGCTTGGTATCCCCGATGTAGAGGAGGCCACATCTGGATCAGCAGATACAGTATACCACATTAGCAGATGTGCAGGTGAACATCTGCTTGACGTGGAAGGTCTTCTTGGGGCCTGGGATGGGGGTGAGGGGGGAGGTGTCGGGGAAGGTGTAGCACTTCCTGCGGTTGCAGGGAAAAGTGCCGGGTGTGGTGGGGCTGGAGGGGAGAGTGGAGCAGACAAGGGAGTCACGGAGAGAGTTGTCCCTCCGGAAAGCAGATAAGGGTGGGGAGGGAAAAATGTCTTTGGTGGTGGGGTCGTATTGCAGATGGTGGAAGTATCGGAGGATGATGCGTTGGATCCGGAGGTTGGTGGGGTGGTACGTGAGGACAAGGGGGATTCTGTTTTGGTTGTTATTGCAGGGAGGGGGTGTGAGGGATGAGTTGCGGGAAATGCGGGAGACACGGTCGAGGGCGTTCTTGACCACTGAGGCCGGGGGGAAGATGCAGAGAATGTAGTTGACACTTAACCACATCGCCTGTAATCTCCTCCAGCTTCTTTCCGCTCTGAGATATCAGTGCTCTTCTACTTCTGGCTACTCCCAAATGCTCAATTTTAATCTACAACCTTCAGTTGCCTTGGCTGTGAGCTAGTTAATACCTTCAAATTCTTGCACTACCTTGCTGTCCTCCTTCAAGACACTGCTTGAAGTTTACATTCATCTAATAATTTCCTATGTGTGTTGATGACATTCTGTTTTTTAAAATGCTCTAATGGAGTACTTTGAGGCATTTAATTATGATAAAGGCGCTATGAACAAAGTGGTTTTTTTAACCATTTCAATGACTTTATAAGACTCTTTGTTTCCTGCTTTCTAAAACCTCTTTCACATCCACTGGATGTGCAACACACTAATCTCTTTGTCTCTTTTGTTTACCTGATCTTCATTGAATAGCTTCCTTAGCCAGCTTTCTCTTTATTGTAGCATTGTGTCAGTTTGTTTATTTTTGGGTGAGAAAACCATGACAATGAGAAGTGTCCTTCGTGTTTAGAGAGGAATAAGAAGTGTTCTACTCTCCATCACGTAGTTTTGTGCTAACGAACTTTATCTGCACTCTAGCTGAAATCTTGAATCACCGCATAAAAGATATGTTAATAATGATAAACGTGCAACAGGTTCAGTATGTAAAACACTGTTTTTGAAAGACAACTTGTTTAACCATATCTCTGGCAAACTTTCAATATGAAAATCCATTAATTGGTTTGCAAATGAAACGTTGGGTAAACAGCCTGTACTGTATGGTGCAATAAGTTGAGCAGCATCAGTTCACTGCTCAGATTGCTTTAATCCTTTGGTTCTGCTTCAAAATTCCTGTTATATTAATCATTTACTGTTGAGACGAGTATACTGTATATCTCAATGTAAATATCCTTAACTACATGTTTTACAGAAGAAAATATACAAATTTATACAATGTTGCTGTTGTGCTTTAGTCATTTAAGTACTTCTTTGAAGCACTCCTCGCTCCATCATTCTTGTAATGTAGAAAACAAACTTAGACAATTTGTAGAGAGCAAACTTCCACAAACAGCAATGTGACCAGATTGAGTTGTTGGCTGTTGGATGAGGAATTAATATTGGCCCTTTGTTTTTCTTTTATCAAGTGGAAATATTTCTACCCCAGAGCTTTGGTCTTATTTGAAAAATAAGATTCCTCAGGATGGTACTGGAGTGTCAGCCCAGATTTTTGGGTTTATTTGAAAGAAGGGAACAGTACTAAAGGAGAACCTGGGTTGTAAAATAATCTGAAATACCAAGGAAGTGAAAGGTCTACTTGAATGCAACTGTCATCTTTCCCTTTCAAGTGTAGATGCATCTTCTCTGAATTTTCAGATTTTTAACATTCATCCCTTCTGTTTTATCAACGTTAACAAGAGCTTTAGCAATGGATATATATTTTCAAAAAATGACAGTGGCCTCGGGACTGGGTGGAAGGTGGATTCCCTCTTTATGTCTTCACTGAATGAAATAGGGCACATTCATCTCCATTGAAGAGCAACCTATTAAAAATAACTTTAGCTCCAGACATGAATTCTGTCTTCTCTCCCTTCCTCAAATTAATTCTGTTGTGCTCGTAAATAGGATTTCCTTCAGCTGCCGAACACCCCACTGATCACTTCCCTTTCGCCCGTCCTGGTCCATTAACAACCAATAGACCAAGAACAAAAGTGCCTGAATAGCCCATTGTTAAAAGGTGAGTATTGCCTGAAGTGTCGTTTTATTTAACGGCTGAAAGTTCTTCCCACAGAAGATTGTGGGGAACAAACCGCCAGTCAGTATATTTCTATATTCTGTGACATAGAAGGGGATTGGCAGACATGGGTCAGAATAAATAGAAATAGTGGCTGAAGAAAAAACCCAAACAACAGCTGTTGAGCGTTAACAAGGCTAGAAAATGAGGTCTAAATAAACACCTTACGCCACATATAAAACATTATCATCTCCTTGCAAAATTCTCTCATTTATTTAAAGCCACGGGGTCATTTTTTCCCCAGTGATTACAAACTTATTCTCTTGCGATTTAACAAAAATGTTTAATTTTTTTTCCGGTATTAATCTGAGCGGTTTTGTCAGCACTCACCTTTAAACAATGGGCTAGTCTGATAGCGACTGATCTTCACTGTAGTTCCTGGGACCGCTTGGCAACTGTTGCCACTCCCGAGTAAATTGCGTGGTCTCTGGCCACAAATACACACATTTCCGAGAAGGGACTGTTTCCCCCGCTCTCCTTATTCCAGTAACTGGTATAAATGTTCACTCGTTTCCCTTGCGTTTAAACACTTAGGCCCTAGTCTCTTTCTCGACTGGTTTCCAAGCTCAAAGGCGGCACAACTTGTAACATTTCAGCATCCAGCTACTGGAACGTACAGGAAATTAGGGACCAACGCAGAATTTATTTATTTAATCTTTTATCAAATTTACGCAAGCACTCAGAATGGTACTTGAGTCACCTACTCCTTATCTTTTGTTACCAGGGTGAGTCAGCTCCAGAGGATTTATACAGGGTCAATTATTCTTTAGGTAAAGCAGGGGATTAGAGGACGAAATCGACGAGGGGAAGGAGACGTGGACTGATGCAGTTCGTATTTATAACGTATATAGTTATATATTTGTAGAAAAAAATGTTTAAATCACAAGGTTGGACTATCTTCGATACTTACAGTTATAGATTTGTGGAGAGAAAAGTTTTTAACCACAAAGTTGGACCATCTTCGGTTCTCCTTTATGCACAGGTGTTGAGAGTTACAACGTTAGTGTAAGAACCTAGACTGCACTTTTTCTTCCATAAAGATGCTACACGTTCCTCGGATCTGTGGGTGGGCGGCAAGCAGGCAAATTAGTAATAGTAGCCATGCAAGTTAATATGACTAAATTGTTTTATTTCTAAATTAGTAAACTGAAAACAAAATTAAACTAGTATAGATGTTTTGTCAGAAAATACTCGGGGTACTCTAATGCAAACAGTTTTGGTCTCTCTCTCTCTCTCTCTCTCTATATGTGTGTGTGTATATATATATATATATATATAAACGTGGTGCAGGGTGTAACAGAAGGCTGTTAGAATGATACCTAAACTAAGGGGTTATAATTGATCTGGAAGGGCTGGCCAGGTGATGTTTTTTTTCTGGAAAATAAGTTTGATTATGTTTTTAAGATTATGAGATGGTTTGATAAGGTTGCTGCAGAAATGATGTTAGAGGAAACCAGAATTAGGGATCATAAATATAACTAGTCACTAATAGAAAATTAAGGAGAAATATCTCTACCCAGAGAGAGTTTTAACTGTGGAAATCACTTCCATAACGAATAGTTGAGGTGAACAGCATTGAGGCATATAAAGGGAAGCTAGATAAACACACGGGGAAAGAATAGAAAGTTAAGTTGAAAGAGTTGATAAGAAAGTGCAAGAAGACTATAAAGAACTAAAACAGCAACATGGTCCTGTTGGGCTAAATGGCCTATTTCTATGCCGTAAATGATTTGTATAAATTAATTTGTTCAACTATGAATGCTTGATTTGTTCAAATATGCCCTTCTGTTGAATGAGATTTCATAGGATAGGCATAGATTTCCAAACAATGAGCATCTCTTTATGTATTGCCCTTTTCCCCCCACATATTCATTTCATGGGTATTTTTGTACAAGATAATGATGGAATTGAAAGATATTCAAATTACTCCGAAGAGTCACCTAGTGTGCAGAAACTGCAACTTCATCAGGATAGCTGATGTGGCAAAATTGAAGAGGAAGATAATAGACACTTCCTTAAAAAGTAACTAAAATGTTTATCATCTAAAATATGTAACGAAATGAAACTTACACAGTTAAATTAAAACTCTAAAGTTTTTCTGTTGGATCTTAATATATTAGATAACATGAATATATAACTTTTTTTAAACTTTACTGTAGTTGGTTCTATTTCAGATAGGAACAGGTCATTCAGCATGCCCCCACCCCCCTCCCCACCAAAGCATACAGAACCATTCAGTAAGATTATATTTGATCCTAAATTAATCCACTCACCTTCACGCTAGCTCCTTAATACCCTTGGTTATCAAAAATCTGTTCTATCTCAGATTTAAAATTGAGCCAGCATATACTACACCATTTTTGTGAAGTTAACAGCCTTCTTGAATGGCCTAACTCTGACACTAATATTATTACCCATTATTTTCACCTTCCCACTAGCATAAATAGCTTTTCATCATGTATTGAATCAATTCCTTTCAAAAATCTAAATGGCCTCAAATCCGTCAATATTTCAAGGGGTATTCCAATGTATATTTAACAGTAACAAAACATCCTCCACTATATAAACTGGCCCTCCAGAATTTAAGGTTAACATTTTGTTAGCCAGTTCGATTTTGTTTTATTTCATCATTACACTTTAGTGATCTGTGTATATGGACCCCAATATCTTTTTGGAGCTTTATTGTTCTCAGTGCCTCAACATTGATCATTTTTTAAAATCTTAAAACAGACGGCCTCACACTTGCATGCAATGAAATTGATCTCCTCATTTCACTTAATCTGTCAATGTTGCTTTGTAATTTTACACTTCTGACTAGACAACTGCTATGTCACCAATCCATACATTATTGATTTGGCTACAACTCTATTTTTGCTATTTATTAATAAATATGGTGAATAGTTGAGGTCCCAGCTTAAAAACTCGATCATTAAGTATATTCAAGGATGAGATAGACAGTTAGATTTTAAATCACCAAGGGAAGCAAAGGGTTATGGGGAATAGGCTGGAAAGTGAAGTTGAGGATTGTTAGTTAAGCCAAGTATTCATTGAATGGCAGAAGATATTCAATGTGCTGAATTACCTGTTTGTAAGTCTTATGGTCTTATCCATGTAGGACATTGCTAGTAATTTACTTCCAATTCAAAAATGCAACCATTATTTCTACTTCCTGTTTACTGCTGTTGAAACTAATCTCCCAATCAGGTAAACATTTGGTCTTCATTTCCAAGGCTTTAATTTTATCTCACAGTTTCTTCTGCAGAACTGTGTCCAATGCTTTCTGCAAGTCTATTGCTTGCTGCTTTAGTAACTTCCTCAGGAAGTTCTATTAAGTTCATTCAACCTCAACTAGCATTCACATTTCCATGGGCTGGATTTTACATATCTCCACTGGATGTGATTTGGCTGAGGCTGGGGCATGCAAAATAGTCCTCACACATGAATTACAAAAAGCAAACATCCAAGTTCAGTGGATTATAGGGAAGGCAAATGGAATGTTAGCCTTTATTTCAAAGCGAATGGAATATGAAAGTAGTGAGTTTTTGTGAAAACTGTACAGGGCACTAGTCAGACAATAACTGGAGTACAGTGAACCGTTTTGGGCCTCTTGGCTAAGGAAAGATATACTGGTATTGGTGGTAGTCCAGAAGGGTTCACGAGGCTGATACCAGATATAGAGGGACCGTGTTGTGAGGAGAGGTTGGCCCTGTACCAATCGGAATTTAAATGAATGAGAGATAAGCTTATTGAAACATACAAGATTCGTAGGGGACTAGACAAGTTAGACATAGAAAGGTTGTTTCTCTTCGTAGGAGAGTGTAGAATAAGAGGCCATATTCTCAGAACAAGGGGTTGCACACTTAAGACTGAGATGAGGAAAAATTTCTTCTGAGGGTACTGAATCTGTGGAATTCCTTCCAGCAGAGGACAGTCAAAGCTTGGGTCATTAAGACAGATTTTTGATCAGTCAGGGAATCAAGGGTTATAGGAAAAAGGCAGAAAAGTGGAGTCAAGTGTTATCAGATCAGCCACGATTTCATTGAATGGCAGTGCAGACTCAATTGGCTGACTTCTGCTCCTACACATAATGGTCCTTCTCCAAATATGGTAGACAGCTGAGTCAATAATATATCTTTTGTTGTGTATTTCACACCTAGACCCAACCATCTTCAGCTGCCTCAACAATAACCCTTCCTTCATCACAAGGTCAGAAGTACAAATATTCATCAATTGCACAATTTTTAGCGCTAGTTGTGACTCCTCAGATACTGAAACAGAATGTCTTCAAATGCAGCAAAACCTGAATAATATCCAGGCTTAGGCTGACAAATGGCAAGTAACATTCACGCCACTGGGTATTCAGCTCCATTGTACCCTGAAGGTGGCAACGCCGGTCGATAGAGTGGTCAAGAAGGCATACGGCATGCTTTCATTCATCGGACGGGGTATTGAGTACAAGAGTTGGCAAGTCATGTTACAGTTGTATAGGACTTTGGTTTGACCACATTTGGAATACTGCGTACAGTTCTGGTCGCCACATTACCAAAAGGATGTGGATGCTTTGGAGAGGGTGCAGAGGAGGTTCACCAGGATGTTGACTGGTATGGAGGGCGCTAGCTATGAAGAGAGGTTGAGTAGATTAGGATTATTTACATTAGAAAGACGGAGGTTGAGGGGGGACCTGATTGAGGTCTACAAAATCATGAGAGGTATAGACAGGGTGGATAACAAGAAGCTTTTTCCCAGAGTAGGGGACTCAATTACTAGGGGTCACGATTTCAAGGCGAGAGGGGAAAAGTTTAAGGGAGATATGCGTGGAAAGTTCTTTACGCAGAGGGTGGTGGGTGCCTGGAAAGCGTTTCCAGCGGAGGTGGTAGAGGCGGGCACGATAGCGTCATTTAAGATGTATCTAGACAGATACACGAATGGGCAGGGAGCAGAGGGATACAGATCCTAGGAAAATAGGCAACAGATAGAGGATCTGGATCGGCACAGGCTTGGAGGGCTGAAGGGCCTGTTCCTGTGCTGTAATTTTCTTTGTTCACACAAATACCAAGCAATGTTCAGCTCCAGTAAGAGACAATTTAATCATCATCCCTTGAATTCAATGGGGTTACCATCACTGAATCTCCCACTATCAACATCCTCGGGAGCAGCATTGACCAGAAACTGAGCTGGATTTGCCACATAAACACTGTGGCTACAACAGCAGCTCAGGGGCTAGGAATCCTGCAGCAGAAATTCACCTCCTGACTCACCAAAGTCTGTCCACCATCCATAAAATTTACTTGGTGTGTAATACCCAAGTGTCGAGAACAAATGCGACAATTGTATCTCTAAGACTTTGGTCTAAAATAAACATTGCTTTGAGTGTACTTGGCAGTCTTCTGAGTTACGCTGCCTTTTTCTCAGTAATGTGTGTTCAAAACCAGTTCATATTGAAGCAGAAGCATGAGTAAAGACGTAGCCTTAGACTCAACTTATGTTGCACACAGATGGAATCAATCAACTAAAATAAATGGGTTCCAGGAGAGTTTGAGGGCAGTCTGTAAGTCTCTGGAGGTAACTGACCCTTTTGTATTGATGTATAAAGCTGTTTTCCATCAATGTGGAAGTGACAACATAGCTGTGCCCTTGAGTTCAATGTATATTTAGTAGTTTATACTTCTAAAGCTCAGTCCTGCTTTTAAAAAAA